CACACTCCTTGCCTCTTACTTTGGCTCTTCTCACTCACTGTTCAACTTTTTGATGTTCTGACATTGCTCAAATAAAACTGCACTCTCTAAAGTTGCAACTACCTCTTAATTGCTGCTTCTGATGGTCTTTTCTTAGCCCTCATGCTTATTTACCTTAACAGCAGTTGTCAGTGCTAAGACTTTTCCCATATATTCTTTCTTCTTTTTGTTTTTATGACACTATTCTTTCCTGGTTCTACACTTACCTGTTTGTTCCTTTTCATCATCCTTTACATTTATATTCCTTTACTGTGGGTGTACACCAAAGTTCTATCCTGGGCTCTTTTCTCTTCTCTTTTTACACTTCTGATGAACTTATTAGCTCCAATATTTTTAATTACTTCTGTGCACGTTGCTACCAGATCTATTTATCCAGTTCTACACTCTCCTAAGCCCTATTCCTTTCCTCTTTACCAACTGCCTATCGTACATTTCAAAGTGGATGTCCCATGGACGTTTCCTACTCAGTGTACAAAATCTTCATTTCTGTTGAGGATAGATATCATTCTACCATTTTTCCAAGTTTATAACTTTTGTATTATCTGTATATTCTGTATTAACTTCTCACTTTCCCCTTCCCCACATATCCACTCAGTTGACAAATCTTATTTCTCTAACACCACAGCATGTCTCTGGTGCGTCCTCTTTTCTGTAGTCACAGAGCCATCATCTCTTCTCTCATGAACTATTGCTATGGCCTCCTAATTGGTATTCTTGTCTTCAGTCACTCCTTAATCTAATCCATTCCCTATACAATTGCCAAAATAATTTTCCTTAAGCACAGATTTGATCATGTCCCTTTCCTACTCAAATAACTCTAGTGGTTACTCATTTCCTCTTAGATCAGATAGAAACTACTCTGTTGGCCTTTTATAGACCTTCTCAAACTAAGTTTCCATCTTTATTATACATTAATTCCTTTGTTTAGAATGCACTCCTCTGCCTCATTGGATCCCTCAGTTCCTTCAAGATTTTAAGCACCACCTTCTACAAGTTTTCTTGATTCCCCTCAACTACTTGTATCCTTTCTCCCTAACTACCTTGTATTTATTTCCTATTTATTCTTATATTCTTATTTGTATAAGTAATCTCCCTGATAGAGTGGAGTTTATTCTTCTTGAGAGTAGGGATTGTTTTATTTTTTTATCTTTGCTTCTCTTGTAGTACCTAACACATCATAGGTGTTTAATAAATGTTTGATTGTTCTAATAAGGACCAGAGAAAGAGTGGGCTACAGTTGGCAAGTTAAGCTAAGGATAACAAAAATCGGGGGTTTTTTTGTTTTGGATTTTTAAAAAAGTTACTGGAAGAGGAAGGGAGTGCACAAGTAGGTGGTACAGTGGATAAAGCACCAGCCCTGGAGTCAGGAGGCCCTGAGTTCATATCTGGCCCCAGACTCTAGCTGTGACTCTGGACAAGTCATTTAACCCCAGTTGCCTACAAAAAACAGTTACTTTGGGGGAAAAGAAGATTAAAGAAGGGAAACAACCACTTGCTGCTCAAGGAGGGTGGGGCAATGGTAACTAGCCTAAGAGAGAAGACAAAGTTCCTCAATTACCAAAGAGAATGACCTTTGGATGGGAAAGGACAATGTGAAAATGGGTAATAGGGAGTTGATGTTCTAAGTAAGGTGATAATAAGAATGTGACTGAGCTGCCCTTGATGAATTCATTAAGTCACCTGACTCATCCTTGGTTACTGAGAGGACTGGCTGATGAAGAGGCACTGTCAGGGATATCTGAAAGTTTGTGGAGAATAGTTGGAGAAGGAAATGCAAACCACTCCATTATCTTTGCCAAGAAAACTATAAATGGTGTCACATTGGACATGACTAAAGAGACTAAATAGCAAAATGAAATAAAGGACTTTTAGGCATTCCTGATGAAAAGACCAGAGCTGAATAGAAAATTTGATATTCAAACAGAAGACTCGAGAAGTATGAAAGAGTAATCATCAAAGGTAATCATCATTAAACTGTTTACATTCATATATGGGAAAATGGTGTAAGTCCTAAGAACTTTATCATTATTAGGATAGTTAGAAAGAGTTTACGCAGAGGACATAGGTGTGAGTCAATTATGTTGGAATGATCTTCCTTCCCCCCCCCCCCAAAAAAAAAACTAAGTAGAGAGAAAGAGATGCACTGGGAGAAGGGGGAAGGGAGAGGTAGAATGGGGTAAATTATCTCACATAAAAGAGGTACACAAGGAAGAGTTTTTACAGTAGAAGGCAAAATGTGGCATGGAGCGAGGGAAGAGTGGTGGGCAGTGCTTGAACCTCACTTATTGGAATTGGTTCAAAGAAGGGAAAAGTGTGTGTGTGTAGAAATGTAACTTACTCAGTAGGGAAATAGGAGGGGAAGGGAATAAGAGAAATGGGGAAGGGTGGATTCAGGGAGGCAGGAGTTAGAAGCAGAACAGACTTTTGAAGAGGGACAGGGTAAAAAGAGAATAAGAAGGATAAACTGAACAAAATGGGTTGGAGGGAAATACACAGTAATTATAACTGAATGTGAATGGGATGAGCTCCTCCTAAAAAGGAAGGAGATAGGAGAATGAATTAAGTGTGTTGTTTATGAGAGACATGAAACAAAAAGACACAGGCAGAGTTAAAATAAAGTGCTGGAGCAGAATCTCTTATGCTTCAGCTGAAGTAAAAAATATAAAAAGGTAGCCATAGCAATCATGATTTCAAACAAATTAAAAACAAAAATAGACCTAATTAAAAGAGATAATCAGAGAAACCACATCAAGTTTCTCTGATAAGATCTCATTTTCCAAATACATACTAAGTATAGAGCTATGTCAAATTTATAAAAAGAAGAGCCATTCCCTAATTGATAAATGGTCAAAGGATATGAACAAAAAGTTTTCAGAAGAAGAAATGAAAGCTATCTATAGTCATATGAAGAAATGATCTAAATCACTATTGATTAGAGAAATGCAAATTGAAACAGCTCTGAGGTACCACCTCACACCTATCAGGAATGACAAATGCTTGAGGATATGAGGGCAAAATAGGTATACCAATGAACTGCTGTTGGAGTTGTGAATTGGTCTAGCTTTCTGGAAAACAATTTGGAACAAAGGGCTATAAAACTGTGCTTAAAATCTTTGACTCCGTAATACCACTACAAGGTCTCTATATCAAAGAGATCAAAGAAAAAGGAGAACCTATATATACAAAAATATTTATAGCAACTCTTTCTATGGTTGCAAAGAATTGGGAATTGAAGGGATACTAATCAATTTGGAAATGATTGACCAAATTGTAGTGTATATGATTGTAAAGGAGTACTATTGACTATAAGAAATGACAAGGGGCATATTTTCAGGGAAAAAAAATCATGGCAAGATCTATATGAACTGTCATGAGGTGAAGTGAGAAGAACCATCAGAGATTTGTACACAGTAACAGCAATGTTGTAATGATGATCAGTTCTGAAAGACTTGGCTACTCTGATCTATGTAATGATCCAAGAGAGTTCCAAAGGATTTATGATGGAAAAGTGCTATCCACCTCCAGAGAGAGAACTGATGGACACTAAGTATAAATTGAAGTTTTATTTTTCTTGCTTTTTAAAATAATATGGCTAATATGGAAATATATTTTGCTTGGTTTCACATCTGTAATCTCATTTGCTTGCATTCTTGGTGGGAGAGGGATGGGAGGAAGGGAGAGAATTTAGAACTCAATTTAAAAATAAAAGAATTCCAAAAATAATTAAAAACAAATTTTTGAGGGAAAATAACCTCAGTTATTTTTCTGATGAACTGCTAGTAAGCCATTTTGAACAATGAAATTGATTTTTTGAACCCAATATAAGATTTTATTCCTGTTAAATTTCATCTTATCTGTAGCTCAGTATCCTCAGTATCAGGATCTTTTGGGATTCTTACTTTTATCCAACATGTTAGCCATACGTCACAATTTTAAATCATCTATAAATTTAATATACATACCATTTATGCCTTTCCCTAAGTCACTGAAAAAATTGTTAGTCATCACTGAATGAAATACAGTTTCTTGTGGCCTACAATTAAAGATGGCAGTAGCCAACATTCTCATGTGGTAAAGAAAGCTATTAGTCTTAGGCAGTTGGATTATGCATTTTTTCCAGAGGTAGCAGCCAGAACTATATCTAGTCTTCATTCAATCAATAAGCAATTATTAAATGCTCATTATGCCAGGCACTCTGTTCTAGGTACAGGCATAACATGGTTTTGTACAAGGGTAAGACAATGAGTTTGTTTCAGTTCTGGTATGTTTCCTGTTGATGCCCAGCAACTCCATTCATTCATTCATTCATTTATTCACTCAGTCATTCATTCAACTCTCTACCTATCCATCTGTAGTAGATTGGTCTAGTACTGTGAGGGAATCCTTCAGTGACTGTTAGGTCTTTTTTTTTTTTTTTTTTTTTTTTTTTACATTTATCCACATTGGAATAATTCAGTGTACTGGTTTAAATCTTACAAAATTCCTTTGTAACAAACAGTATTATTGTGAACCAGGACATAATTTTGTTAAACAAGCAAAACCCTAGATTCTAATGGTAATTTTCACCTCTTGTGCTTTTTCATAGAGATTCTGATAAAATTTAAATTTGACTATGTTTTGCTGTCTTTCTTATGATGTTCTCTAAATTCTCAGAAAAATAACTACCAGTCCTAGCAGTAATAGCTTCTTTGTCTTTAATAATGGCATGAGAAATATCTGTATGGTTATTCTTGCAACTGACTTGGATATGTTTATTTTCTTATTGGTGGGTTGAGATGATTGTGCCAATGAATATAATTTGGTAAAATACTCAGTTTCTTGGAGAAAAAAATGGAATCCCAAGTGATCTGCTGTATCTCCTATCAAAAGGCTCCAGACTATATTTATTTGTTTATTCTGAGTTCCTATTCCTATGTTGAAATTGGATATCAGATTGACTGGGGCTTTCATTTCTGTTCTAGCCTGAAAGGATAGACCCAAGTGCATCAAGACAAGGATATGATGTTCGTTCTGATGTGTGGAGTTTGGGGATCACACTGGTATGTTGAATAATTTCTTTTTTCTCATTGTAAAATACTTTTTTAACTGAAAAAGAACAACAAAGCATGAAATAAGTATTTTCCAGGCATAGAAGGCATCCATAGACTGCCTTATATTTGATTTTCCTTTCTTGTGGAGTTTTGCCTATAAATAGTAAATCCCCGAAGTGTGGGAATGCCAGTAGGCAACCAGTTTGATCACAAAGGTGTGCATAGTTTTTAAAGCACCCAGAAATGATATACTCACCTTAGTATTGTTACTATATGTTATCCAGAATGCTTAAAATCCTTTGTTATAATATTATGATAAAATTAGATTATCTCAACAAATTGAAGCAGGTGACTTTTTCTTTTAAATAGTCATTTTCTTTGCTACATGCATACAAACCATTTAAAAAATACCTGTCTACTCAACATTGTCACTTGCTTGAAAATTTTAAGAGAGAGGGTCTCCCTCATCTTTGTTCTTCTTTTTCTGTGTCTTGGTTTCTCCACTACAGTCCTCCTCCAGTGCTCTATCATGGTATAGTGAGTTCTCAAAGACTTTACCAGTAGGGCTACTCTTAATGGTTCTATGAAATTAGTTTCATGGGGTCCTTCAGTGGACTGTACTTGTCATCCAAGGGCCAGCCTAGCTAACAGTAGTAACAACAGTAACAATAAATAGCTGATGCTTCCATTTCACTTAAGATTCTACGTTTGTCCCACACTTTATCTAATTTGCTTTTTAGAAGAAGTCTATAATGTAAGTATTACGGGCACATTGTCACCATTTTATACGTGAGAAATTGAATTTACAACGGTAAAGTGACCTGCCCATGTTCATGCAACTGGTAAGTTTTAGAGGCAGGATTTGAACCCATGTCTTTTCTGACATGAAGTTTAATGATCTTCCTAATTTACTATCTTGATTCTTACTAGGTTATTTTGAAGAGGTCTATTTCTGGGGTATTGGCTGTCAGGTGATGTCAGACTTTAGCCTTTACTTTGGGGAAAGGCAGTGCCTATATTTTAGCCACATTTGAACCAAGTCCTCAGGTGGAAAGGAAATAAATCCCCACCAACATCACCTTCCCCTCCACCCCTACCCCACCCACCCACAAAAAAAAGTCTATAATTAAATTTAGTACTCGAGCAGTAGATATGTCACTTGGTAGCCATACCTATAGTGATGAACTTCTTCAAATTTATCTAGTAAAGAATGTGATTTGATGGACTCTTAAGGGTCCCCAGCCTAGAATGGTCACCAAGCTGTTTAAGGATATTTCTTTTCATTTACATGTGGTAATGCTTGAACTTTATTCATCTAGTGGGTGATGTTTCTTGTTTTCACTGTTTCTTATGAATACGTGTAATTATCATTTATACAGCAGTAGTAAGATACTTTAATGGGGAGATCCTGAATTTCCATAGAAGTGTCAGTAGAGAAGAAATGAAGAATTCTGGTGATCATATTGATTCCCAGATCCATTCTAATTTTTCCTTTCTTATGTAATGGGATGTCTTTATGTTTTTTTCCTTGATCTCTTAAATTCCATTCTCCAGAAAAATATCCCACAAATTTATTCATATTAAGGTGCAAACGAGTGATAAAAGCAGCATATGGAATTGGATAGTCCACTGTGAAATGTAGGCGATTAAGCCTCAAGAAAACTCAGTTCATAAGTGCTCCTGCAATAAAGTCAGCTACTTGATACTGAATAGAGAACCAGTGACCCTTCTGGTCTTCACAACTATTCAGTTGAAGTATGTTCAGAAATTAGGGAAGAAGATGATAAAATTTGTTGGGTCAAACAAAGAAGGGGAAGTATGTTTTCTAGTTGAGTTATATCTTTATTGAAACAATCAGAACATAGAATCATAAATATTAAAGTTAAAGAATTAATTTCTAATAGCACTTAGCTCGGTGGGGAGAGGTACATGTTGGAGGGGCAAGGGAGGGAAGAGAGTTGGGGAGAGGACTTTGCAGTGTAAGCACATCATGAAGACAAAGCTGTAACTTTACCTAGCTATAAAACTGGCCTTGATTTTGAATAATAATTTATCTTTCTGTGGGTGGACATACTAACATTGTGATTCAGTCCTTCTAAGTTAACTTAAATTGGAGAGGACTGTGGAACAACAGTCCTTGGTGTGCTGTTCTCTCCAATTGTCATATTTTTCTCTAATCATTTTTGTACTTAGTCACATTGGTTAGCTGTCAGTACAAAAAAATTAGATTTTGTCAGTACTTTCTTTTAACCATTTAAACATTATTCTGAAAAGTATATCTTGGTTTGTGAGGCATATGCTAGATAACCCTTTGTTGCTTATGTTTTAGAAGGAATTCTTGTTCAGGACTGGATTCCTTCTGAAATAATTCTGTAGAAGAGTAAAAAATCAACATACTGGGTATTGTCAAGTATTTTAGGGGTGTATTGTGAGACAGATATTTATTTCTTGTTTTGGATGGTTTTGAGGCATTACTTTAAATACCATTCTTATAAACCTAATTCAAGGTAAAGCGTGGAGGGTTTGCTTCTAGTCAGGTATTACTAAATGTTCCAGCTATAACAAAACAGAACAGGACAAGAAAACAAGTCCAAAGATTTGTTCATTAAGCTCAGCTCATATATAGTTTTCCTATCTTCTATGTTCATTCCTCACTTCATGGAAGTGCTTGATCCAGGGCTTCTGCCTGGTCCCCTACTGAGACTTGGGTATACCTCTGATGTCAGTGGCCTAATACCAAGTACCTAGGACCTATCTCAGAGAATCCCTCAATGGAGAGAATGTTTTGTGCCACCTCAGGGAGGTGTACCCATTTAGACTCTGTTTCCCTACCTTCTCCCTCGTCCTCACCTCTCAGATGCCCTTCACGATAGAGTATCTACTCTGGATGGACTCTGGATGGACTCAGGAGTCTCTGAATTGGAGGCAGCATGATACAGTGGAAAGAAGACTGGCTCTGGAGTCAGAGGACCTGAATTCAAATCTGCTTCTGATGCTTACTACCTGTGTGACCTTGGGCAAGTCACTTACCCTCCCTGGGCCTCACTTTCCTCATTTGTAAAATGAAGGGGTTGGATTATAAGGCCTCTGAGGTCCCTTCAAGATTTATTTAGATCTTTGATCCGACAGTTGATTACTCAAGGAGCCCTGTCTACACACAAGAATGTCCTTTCGCTAAGGTAGCTCTGTAGCCCAAAGTCCTTGAATTTGTCTGATAACACAGTTTCTTTTATTTGCCTGATTTCTAATTGTAGTTTTTTATGGGCTCCACACTTCAATTTCCCCAAAATGATTACCCTGGCCCTACTGGGATCTTGTCTTGGGGTCCTAGGTAGGGCCTCTCCAAAACTTTTGTTTGGGTGCCTGGATTTAAAGCCACTTATATGGGCTATTAAATGATTCCGAGTGTGTGTTGCTTTTACCTCTCTCCTCTCCTCAGTATGAGCTGGCTACGGGCCGATTCCCTTACCCAAAGTGGAACAGCGTATTTGATCAGCTGACACAAGTAGTAAAAGGAGACCCCCCACAGCTGAGTAATTCCGAGGAAAGGGAATTTTCCCCAAGCTTCATTAACTTTGTCAACTTGTGGTGAGTACTTAACACACTGAAATTTGATATAATTATAGTAATAGCTGTATTGAAGTTCACGCCAATGTGAGGACCCTTCCTGAAAATCTCATCCTGACATCAGAGTTTCCCACCAGGCTTTAGTGCAACAGCCAAACTCCTCACTCTAGTTTCTTCTGATCTGTCCTATACCAACATATTTTAGTCATCCTGCAATATAAATTTCCTCGTGTTATCTACCTATTAAAAAAAAAAACTAAAATGGCTCCCATTGCCTGTTGACTTAAATATAAATTCCTTAGTCTTGAATTCAAAGTTAACTATAATACGTTTGTACTACTACTTTCCAACTCTTTAGTGCACTTATTTATATTCTAATTGCCTGATGAGTATGTGTCTTATTTCCCTCCTAGACTATAAGCTCCATGAGGACAGGGACTTTTGAATCTCCTCTAGTGTCTAGTACAGTGCTCTGTACATAGTAGGTGGTTAACAAATGTTGGTTAAATTAGTAAATGAAAAAAAAAGATTACTTTCTTTTCCATCCAGGTTCTGCTTCTCACTGTCCCCTGAATATGCCAATTTATTATTCATTGCATATGTTTACTCCTGTCTTTTCCTGGTGGCTGAAACATCTTTCCAGTCCCCTCTGCTTATCCAGTCCTTTCCTACCTTTCAGATCCCAGCACAAGTAGTTCCCAATCTGAGGGTCCACAAAGTACTGGGGGTCTTTTAGCATTACCACAAGGAGTTCATCAGTCCATATTAATTGATTAATCCAGTAAACATTTAATAAAAACTTTGTGCAAGAGTCTGTAACAGAGTAAATAGAGAACATTTTAAATCAATATATTTGATGTGATGGGTTTTTTTAAATCTTGAAAGAGGATTCTTCTATTTTAAAGTATTGGGAACTACTGGTCTACAGTACTCATTTGACTGATTAACTTATATTATTACCTATTAGACATGATATTTCTTAACTCTCTTTAAATTATTTTGTCTTCATTTTTTTTTTTTACCTCCTCAGTGCTTAATCTAATGTTACATGTACTTAGGAAGCACTGGAATAGTCAGCAGCTGCTGTGAGAGGAAAATTTTTTACTGCCCTAGAACTAGACCAAGAGATTTTGGTGAAACTCAGGGTAAAGGTTAGCTAATACTAGGCATTCTTTTGATTTTTCTGAGCATTTCTATGGTTTAAACTGAACTGGCTTTCTTAGGACTCTTGAAGCAGACAGGGAAAAGAGCACTGAGTTTAGAATGAAGAATTTGGATTCAAATCTCTATTTTGTAATTTATTTCTTGTGTGACTTTGGGCAAGTCACTCTGTGGGCCTCAGTTTGCTTACCTGTAAAATGAGGGGGTTGGAATACAGTGTCTTCAAGATTCCTTTTATCTCTGAATATTTGATCCTTGCTTCTTCAAAGAACAAGACCAGGCTAGGAGTACACCACTACTCCCTGAAATCCACACTCACAGCTTACTTAAACACTATTAGAATTTAATGTTGTCAGGCTTGTATTACTCTGTTATTACTCTGACCCTAACAACACAGAATAAAAACAAGAGATTAATTGTTTATTGACTTGATATTTGCATTAGCCTAGAAGTTGCAATAAATTTCTTAATTGATTTTAGTCCTTCCCACAAAAAGTGCTTAAATATTTCTATAATATAAATAATACTTTATATGCATGTATACATGTACACATGCATACACATGTGTAAATATATATGTACATTCAGGTCTCATTCTGATTAACCATTGTTCATTTGGTCTTCAACTCTTGTCAAGATAGTTATTAGTGGCCACTATTGGATGACTTAATGGATAAAGAATGCTTACTGGACTTACCTGACTTCACATTTATCTGTCCTCTTGCTGGCAATGTGGCCTTGGGCAACTCACTTGATGATTCTCGGCCTCAATTTTCTCATCTGTAAAATGAGGATAATGACAGCACCTACCTCCTAGGGTTGATGAATATCAGTTGTGTCACTTTGTAAATCCTAAAGTGCTATTTAGATGTTAACAGTTTTATAGATTAGGAAACTGAGACTTAGAGAAGTTAAATTTTACAAGTCTCACACCACAAGTGTGTGTGTGTCAGAGTCAGGTCTCTCTTGTCACATGTAATTTCATTTGCCTTCCTTCAGTTACAGTTATAACTGGAAGAGGAATTGTCTAGTCCAGTTCAGTTAGAAAACAGAGGCACAGAAAATTCAAATGACTTTACCCAAGGTCATACAGCTGCATGAACTTTATTCACTCTCTTTAATGAAAAAAGAGGTTGCTTTTTACTTTACTCAGATCTTACCTTTTTTAAGTCTACAATTTATAAGGAATAAATTGTTTATCTAATAAATAAAATAATAATGAATATATAATAATAATAAATAAATATCTAATAGATACTAATTGTTTAAGCATACATTCCAGAGTCTAAATATTGTCTTCTTCAAACGGATCTCCTTCTTGGAGAAGGGCTTGAAGAACGCTACAGGAGTTCTTCATTTAATCCGCAAGATCTTTCTACATTATATTTCTTCTTCTTCTTCTTCTTCTTCTTCTTCTTCTTCTTCTTCTTCTT